GAGGAGGGGCGTTAGGGCGCGCGGTGTCTTCACCCCCCGCGAACCCCGCGCCGAGCCGCGGCGGGTGGTGCCGCCTCCGTGGTGGCGAGGGAGTCCTCTCCGCCCTGGGCTTCTCTCTCAGGGGATGGGGGCCGCGGGCTTCTGGGGACCCCGGCCAGGGGCCGCGGCAGCCCTTTAGGGCTCGGGGTGAATCAATGGGTCGCTGAGGGGGCTGGAGGCCAGATGCCTGTCGGGCCGTCGTGAGGGGCTTGGGGGATTCCCGGGGCGTGTTTCCCACTTTGATGGCCTGAGGGGCCCGAAGGAGGAGGAGCAGCGGTTTTTCCTTGGATGCCAAATAGCCTCTAACCGGCGCAGACCATGTGGTTTCAAGAAGTTGGAGGCAGATGTATAAGCAGAGAGACTTTGTAGGGCTTAACTTTTTGACGCGGTTTTTGAGACATCAGAGGCTTTTCCCGGTAGGACTAGGACTCTAATCTTCCTGGCCAAGAGTTTTTCTTTTTTCGGTTTGTTTTGGAACCCACGCTCCTATCTGAAGTGATTTAGGGGGTACAGAATTCCTCCTGCACTTGATTTTAGTGAATTTCAGGTTAGGTCGAAATCTACAAGAAAAACTTGGAGTAAAACTCCGTTTGACCCATTGACAACAAAGGGGAGGGAGAATAAGCGGTCTCAACTAAAAATAAAAACGAAGCTGCTAATAGAGGTGAATATTTATTGTGGTTCTGAGTTATTACTGCTGCTCCAGAGAGAATCGGTATATTCCTCGATTAGATTTTTTTATGTAGATTGAGATTTGTTATTGAGTTCGGTAACTTTTAACGAGAGAATTGTAATGAGTTTTGAATTGCAAGCTCTAGATTTATTTTTTTCTTGGCATCCTAATTCAGCATTTGTAGTTAATGCATTTTGAAAGAGAAAGGACACTTATTTTTAACTTTTAGGGGGAAAGATATATTTTGGGAGTGACAAAATATGACATTTTAGAAAATTTAACTTTGGGAGAATTACAGTAAATTGGGTGGGACCCGTCTTTGAAAATCTGTTGTTATATGTAGGCTCCTTGTCTGTTTCTGTGACAGCTGTTTTAATATTGTTGCTCCAGGATTTCTCATCTTTCAGATTGATTTCAGAGGCTGAAAACAGCTGTATGCTGCTTTATTGTACAGAAGGAGAAACCTGTTGATTTCTGAGGCAGCTTTGCTGCTGCTTTAAAAGGCGTTTGTTTTTCACATCTTCCAAATTATACTTTTATTTTTCTTTCAACAGGAAGGAGTCAAGACTGAGAACAACGATCATATTAATTTGAAGGTGGCGGGGCAGGATGGTTCTGTGGTGCAATTTAAGATTAAGAGGCATACACCACTTAGTAAACTAATGAAAGCCTATTGTGAACGACAGGTGAGGAACTGATATGTGCACTTCCACTGAGTAATATTCTTAAAAAAACAAACAAATTTTATTTTCTTGAGAATAGGAACTAGACTGGCAAGTATTATAATTACTGTCTTTGGTAAAATGAATATGAACTTGGCATAGCAGTTTTATCATACACTTGGTATATTGATTCCTCATGAAAATCTTTACCATGAGTTGGTTAGTATTATATATGATCTAGTCATATGCCAGAAGTGCATCAAGGTATATTCACAACACTTGGTTTCTTCCCAAGGGCATGTAAGAAAAGCATGAACTTAGTAAAATTTCTTGACAGGTTCTTTTTTATCCACTTAAATTTGTCTTGTGTCAAACATTTATTTTAAGTATTTTAATCAACTTGGAAATAAAATTAAGGTCATTGCAGTTTTCATGAAGCATGCAAATTGTGATGTTTTTCTTTTCCACACTAATAGTAGAGGTCAGAAAAATCTAACCTCACTGAACGAAGCATAAACATTCCTGTATAATAGGAACATTTGCATTTTACTCAGAAAATAGTGAGTAGATGCCAAGAGGGGGAAGTAGAAAGGTCAACTCTCTTGATTTGAACTGATGCTGGGAGGTAGATGCCTGATTTTAACTAAGACAGAGAGCTCCCTTTTGTAATGTTGAGTGTAACAAGACAAAGGCAACTTTAAAGACGAGTTTTTGCAAGTATAGCAAAAACTAGTACCTAGATCGATTAATCCAACAATAACCTGGCTGAAGTATATTTTTTGGTCTACACTGAATGTGTAATGTATAAAAGTTGGGAAAATCATTTTATTAGTCTAGCAAAACTTACCATGTGAGTTCTAAAAATAGGCTCAAAGTAGAAGGCGACTTAGACGTGTATAAATTGGGAAATTGAGTCTGAGTTGATATTTGAGCATCATCTGTGATTCCTAAGGGCGTTTGAAAGAAATAGTGAAGATACTGAAGTTATAAAGGTTTTTTTTTTTTTTTGGAGTGTTTGAAGCTTTTATGAGTAATGTATTTACAATGTAATAGAATGCTGTGCTTTTTAATTTTTCATGTTTACTTTCTTATACCCATTGCCATTGAATCAATTCTGACTCATAGTGACCCTATAGAACAGAGTAGAGCTGCCTCATAAGAGTTTCCAAGAACAGCTGGTAGATTCGAACTGCCGATCTTTTGGTTAGCAGCCTGAGCTCTTAACCACTGCACCACCAGGGCTCCCAACTTTCTTACAGTTCCTTACAAAGTTAGGATCTTTAGTATACTTTTATTTGAAGAGTTTTAGTGAATCCTCCTAAGAATGAGTAAATTTGTACTATGAATCTAAAGAATTTATTCACTGGCGTCTTCCATATTTGAAACACTAGTGCCCCTTCAGGTTATAGGAGAATTTTTTAAGAAGGTAATCCTTTTGTATACAGAGTAGAAACTCATGCTTAGATATGTCGGTTTTGAATAAAATTCTCTGAATATCTTTTGACTTTTTTTTTAAATTACTACTAAATTTTAGCTTTAAATGGTCAGAATTTACAACATTTTATTAAAAATTTCAAACCTATAGCAAGGTTGAAAGATTTTTATAGTGAATAACCATATGTCCACTCTGTAGATTTAACCGTTAACATTTTACTATACATATCTATTGATACCCTCTACCTATCCTAAAATGGTCATAATTTTGACTTCCCGTATTACTTGTAGGCGCCCCAAAGGAGCTTTTTATTTATCTGATAATTACCAGATGCCCACCATGTGTTTGGGGCATTGTACCAGGTGCTAGAAAAAACAAACAAAAAAAACATTCTTTGTGCTCCAAAAGATTGTCCTACAAATGGAGAGTTACTGGGTTAATAAAAAATTTTGCATTTTCTTTCTGTGTTAAAATCAGTTTAGTATTACTCAGGGTAAATAAAATTTACCTTGAATTTTCCTAGTTATTATGTTTAAGGTTGGGATTATATATGACTAGTAACTTGTTGGGGCCACTCTCAGTTTGCACTACTAGAGGAAATAGAAGCACTTGAGTGTCCATAAAAAATGTAATTATATTCTGCTACTTATCTGTTGCTGTGTAAATATGATATAAAGATTTGATCCAGGAAGAGCTTGGAAAACTATCCCAATTTTCCCATTAAATTAGGGAAAACTTGGAGTTCTGAGTGAAACAGTATCCATTTGTTTTTCAAAAGGTTTCTCTCATTCTAAGGAAAAGAGTTGAAGTGTCACAATAGGGCTGATTCCCTGCTTCTTTTTAAGGGTAGTAGGTACAGGCTGGAGCTCTGGTGGCTCAGTGGTTAAGAGCTTAGCTGCTAACCAAAAGATCAGCTTTTCAAATCCACCAGCTGCTCCTTGGAAACGCTATGGAGCAGTTCTCTTCTGTCCTTTAGGGTCAGTATGAGTTGGAAGTGACTCCATGGCAACGGGTTTGCTTTTCTTCTACAGGTTAGGTACAGGCTATCAAAAAACAAAGTATTTATCCAATCTAGTTTGCATAGCTAAAGCTTTTTTGGCAGTTGAAAATCTTGACCAGGAATTCTCTGTCAAGATTAATTGCTCATATTTACTGTCTAATGAACTCACTTGGCATCATATCTCTGGAGAGGTTCCAGTGGATACCTAATAGGCATCTCAAATGGAAGATACAAAAGAGGACTTTTGATTTTTACCTCCAGAAATCTGCTTTTCTTCTGGCATTCCCACTAATAAATGGCACCATTCTACATCCAGTTGTTGAGGTCAAAAGCTTAGAATCATCCTTGATGATGCTCTTATAACTCGATCAAATCCATCTGCAAATTACATTCTTAACCCTGTGTTCAGTATGGTATCCACAAGCCGCATGTGGTTATTGAGCACCTGAGATGTGGCCAGTCTGAACTAAGATGTGCTGTATAAGTGTGAAATACACACCAGATTTTAACAGCTGAGTATGAAAAAAAACTTAATCTTTTTGTTTATTACACGCTGAAATGATAGTGTTTTGAATGTATCAGGTTAAAATATTAAAATTGTACCTATTTTTAACATGGCTACTAGAAATTTTTAAATTAAATGTGTGACTTGCATTATTATTTCTTTTGGACAGTATTGAGCTAAACAATCACATAGCTCACAACCATTTTATTCTGGTCTTGTTCAATTACTACCTTGAAGCCTTCTTTATCTTAAAGTAGCCCTGTTCCCATCACTCCCCATCCTTTTATTTATTTATTTTTGGTTGGATTTCTGTATTTTTCACTACTTATTTTTATCTGTCTCTCCACTAAATTGTAAGCTCAGTGAAGATAGAGACTTTTTGTTCATTGTTGCATCTCAGCACCTAGACCAGTCCATGGCACATAGAATGCTCAGTATATACTTTAAAATAATAGAGAACATTCAAACTAATATCTCCAAAGGTTGGTTGTGGAATTCGAGTTCGTGTGCCTACTCTGTGGTAGCCACATAGCCTTCAGCTAACTGATTCATAGCATACTGTTCAATTTCAGTGTGGGCTCACCCTAACAGATTATTTTGTGGAGTGTTAGGTGGCTTCAGAGAGCACAGGTTCACGTGTTTACTCCATCTCATTTTTGTGAAATAAACAGGCCCAAAGAGAGACCTCACAGCTCTCCCAGGGCAGAGCTCAGGGATGGGATTTATACAGGTGCTCGAATACTGCTTTATGGTAAATTCATTGTTTGAATTTACATCATTTCTGGAATCTTAAAAACCAGTTTCCTGAATTTTGGACTTTGAGCTTTAGCAAATCCATGAGTTAGGCTTTAGTTGGAAGAGCTTTTATAGATAAAAGCATAAAAAGCAGGAGTTATTTTAGCTGAAAAACTGAGTTACGGGAAATTGTAATTGTGTAATAACTTAATTGTGATACATTTTATTATGTCGGGGACTTTCAAAAATCTCCTCATAGCTCTTTTAATCATTCTGGTGTGTGAACATATCTTTAAAATAGAGATGACACTGAAGGAGATATGATTTACTTGTGTTCTCTTCATTCTTTTGGCTCTGCCTTTCATTCCCCTGCATGGCCACACCATTGACTTTACCAGTGGATGTAGTGAAGGAAGAGGATTGCTTGTTTTCCTGACAAGATCTAGTCTGAAAGTAGTATGTGTCAAACAGTTGTTAGACTAGAGTTTTAAAGGAAAGCTATCTTTCTGGTGCAGGTAGTTTTAAAGACTGACTGAATCCTCGTTAAGTAAGGGAATATACAGGTGTCACGCAAGTGTTTGTTGAATACTTTGTGTCAGTATTTTTAGTCCTAGGAACTCAGTTTAATTTGTTCTTAAATATCAGTTGAAGCCGGGAGTTTGTGAAACAATAATTGAAGTTTGTAATTTGCGCATGGTGCAGGCTTTCACAACATAGCTCCGAAGGTGCTCTATTTTCCTGTCTTCATTTGACTGTAGTTGCCAGCATCTTTACTTCTTCACTCCTGTTCCGCTCTCCCCGCCACTTTGTCAGGTAATCAATGCTTGATAAGCAGTACACCTAGAATCAGTTTTTGCAGAAGGAACATGCTTAGGCTCATTTATCTCTTCCTTAAATGCATATAAAAATTTGTTGGGACTGAACTCTACTAAATGTAACTCTTAAATTCTAAGAAGCTTCTCCCCAGCTTCTTGGCTCTAGATTTCTTTCTTTTTTTCTTAGTTTATTGTGGTTTTGCTGTTGATATTTCTTTTGAATAAAAAAGAAAATGAAGCATGTTTAGATGGATATTACTTTTCACTCATTTATTTTGTGTATTTACTGAGCACCTCCGTGTGCAGGGATACAGTGTAACCAAGACAGTCAAGGTTCCTGTCTGTCCTGGAGCTTAGTTTCTAGTGAGAGATTGGCAAATAAATAATTGGATTTTGGTAAGTACTAAGACGGAAATAAAAAAGCAGGTGCTTTTTTTTTTTTTAGTTATTCCAGGAATTTCATGGGTATGGATTGAGGTTTTATTTAGGACGGTTACTGCCTTGTGTTCTGGTGGAAACGTCCTGACTGCGGAGCTTTGTCCTGGGTATGGGACATCGGTTATTCTTGGATAGTGGTAGGAACTGCTTGGGTGGAAATGCAGTCAGTGTAGCAAAGTTTTAATCTTTACACCTTTTTAGGTGACTTCCAGTTTTCATTATTATTAAGGATGAATTTTTTTTCCTCTTTTAATTTGCACTGAGGAATATTGCTGTGTGCATCTCATTTAAATTTTATTTCAATATTTTTCTAGCTCATTTAAGTGCAGTATTTGTCTCACTGTATGAACTGTTCAAGCTTGGAGTAGCTATGGTCTCAAAAGCAGTAAGGCTCTTTTAAAAAGACATTGAAAAAAATGATTTATTTTTCCCAAAAGAGCAAAGAAGATACTATAAAGGAAGTAAAAATCAACTCAAATATTTTTACCTACCTATTTTACATATTTAACATAGAAATGGTAACATATTGGCGATAATTTATTTAGGTATCCTTTTTAATATGTTCATGGCAAAATACACATAGTTTTTCTATATGAGGCTCTTATCGTTTCTTTACATACTTCTTACTCCTTTTAAAACTCTCTTGTTCAGGGTTTGTCAATGAGGCAGATCAGATTCCGATTTGACGGGCAGCCAATCAATGAAACAGACACACCTGCACAGGTAAAAATCTCTTGATGCTAAGTGGAAAAATCAGCATTTTTTGGTAATTTTTTTCAACAACTTAGTTGAAGAATTTGTGAACTCTTAGACGTTGGACTATAGTTCTTTATCAGCGTTCAAAGCTATGTGAAATATGGCTAACAGGGAACAGAAAGGAAAATACAGTTATTAGTAAAGCAAAAAGATCGTTTAGTTACTTCAATAAGTTTTTTTTTCCCGTATTACCAGCATTATTTGGAGTAAATAATTAAGGCTCATATCTCTCTTCTGCAGAATGTAGTTTTCTTTTTGTTGCCGCAGCCCTTGACCATACCCAGGTTCCCCTCAGATGACTGACTGACTGCTGATTCTAAGCATTTTAGCCCCTCAGTCCTGAATCCTTGTGGCTTGAACTGCAAGTCTTGATAGCTTAGTTTGACCTGGAGGGCTCTGATAATAGGTGGCTTTCCAAACCCTTACTACAAAAGGCGACTCCGTGATCCCTTAATCTCTTTACATATCACTGCCATTATGTTCTTTTGCATGGGGTAGGCTGGGCTGTCTCCTGTGGCAGAAGCTCCTTGTTTTCTTTTTACTCTTTCAAGCTTTTATTTAAGACTTCCAGTCTTGGAATAAAAATTTTGATAGCAGAAGTTTAAATTGGAGACCTTTCACTTTGAATTTCAGTTTTATCACCTGATTAAAACAAGATGAATGATAGCATGAATGAAGCAGACATCCAGATTGTTAATAATCTTCAAGGATTTGGAGTGCCTATGGGTTATGCTTGAACCAAGGATATTTTCAAGAAATTTCCATTGGTGATTGCCAGTCTCTGAGACGCAATTAATTGTATGTAGCCACAAGGAGGAGCTGAATTCTCTTGATAAAAGAGAAAAAATATTCTCTTTTGTCCTTTGATGGCATATAAAAAGCTTTAGTATAAAATTTAACATTCCAGTAGTTTTATTTTAGTAGATATGGTGACCTGCTTTGGTAGTTTTAGAAGTAAAACACTGAATAAAAATAATTCGTTAGTGCTAAACTCTCAGATAATTAGAGTTTTCTGTGTTTAACCTTCTTCACCCCCACCAAAAAAAGTTTTCTGGAGTTTGTCTGCTGTATTAATTGCAGATACTAAATCATGAGGATCTGTTCAGAACTGACCTTAAGGCACTCTAAAATCTGCAAAGAAAGTACCCTGTACGAAACAGGTGGAATTGGTTCATTTTAGAACGTTTCTCCCAATATTTGTTAAATAGCTAAATTGTGATAAATTAGAACATCTCAGCAGCCCATTTGAACAGTAGTATAATTAGCATGTGCCCAGCATCTTAGTAAGTGTTCTATTTCCCTCAACCCATTTAATTCTTAAAACTGAGTATTAATTCCATTTTACAGAAGAGAATATTGAGACTCAAGAGACTTAGCCATGAATATTTTAGTGCATCAGCCCTACTTTTATTATATTTTAACTTTGTTAGAAGCAGAGTTCCCTTTTTCTTGTCTTTAGGTGTGCCCGCGGTTGCTCTCTTACCTTCAAACTTACCAGTTTTCAGAAAGAGGTTTTTGAGTTTAATTATCAGCATAAACTGTTACAGAGCTGATTCACTTTACAGTGTTGCCATATATGCCAAAACCTTCCTGCTGTTAAAATAGTTGTATTATGTATAATGAACCTTGTAAGCTTAATTTTTGAACCATATTTAAAATTAAAAAAAAGATAAAATTTTATTTTTTTTTAAGAATAAAACCTGTTCATAGTAAGCAGTTCAAAAGTCTTCTCACTCATGTCCCCACCCTTACTGCCTAGAGGTGACCACTGTGCATACATATATGCAAGGATATATTCATTTTATGTATATAAACACAGATGTAGTTATGCTATAAGCTGTTTTGCAGTTTGGTTTTTTTGTTTTTAGCCTAACATTATCTTAGGGATATTTCCATTTCTGCACATGTGAATCTTACTGTTTATTCTTTAACAGCTGCATAGTATTTCATGTATGGGTGTACTGTGGTTTATTTCTTTGAGTTTGTATTGATCTCTAGGTTATTCCTAATGTTTGCTAATCTAAACAGCATTGCAGTGAAATAGATCCTTTACACACATCATCCCTCTGTTTTTAACAATTAAGTTAAACGTGAGGTGATTTAACTCATGGACGTGTTTACTTTTTAACTTAGGTTTCTACGTCCTTCATTAGAAAGGAGGCCAAGTAAAAAGTTCTTTAAACCTAGTCTGATTAAATAAGAAGCTTCTAAAACAATGAACACTGGAGTCAGGTGGAACTTGTGCATTTTTTTTGAGAATACTTAAATTTGAAAATGATCCATTTTAAGATCTAAATTTGTATTTTTCTCTTTTGTGCTAGTTGGAAATGGAGGATGAAGATACAATCGATGTGTTTCAGCAGCAGACAGGAGGTGTCTTCTAAAAAGGGAGCCTGCTACTTTACTCCAGAACTCTGTTCCTACAGACCAAGAATACATTCTCAATTAGAAAACCACAACAATTTGGTTCCACCACATCCTGACTACTACAGTATAGTTCTCTCTATTCTTTCATTTTCCCCTTCCCCATTCCTTTATTGTACATAAAGTAACTGGTGTATGTGCACAAACATATTGCATTTTTTTTTTTTTTTTTTTTACTAAATGGCCAATGGTATGTTTTGATTGACATCAAGTGGAGATGGGATGGGGAAAAATACTGGTTCTGTGAAAATACCCCCTTTCTCCATTAGTGGCATGCTCATTCAGCTCTTATCTTTATATTCCAGTAAGTTATTTTGCTCTCAACTGTTTAACAAAAAACGACGACATAAAAAATCCTTGCATACCTTGTTTGATTGGAGAATTTTAATGTTTTTTCATTTATCATTGTAAAACCACGGACAATTTTATAACTTTTTTGTACGTAGCTGTTACATGTAGGGCAATCTGTCTTTAAGTAGGGATAAATTACTCTAAAAGAAACGAATCCTAGATAGTTTTCCCTTCAAGTCAAGCGTCTTGTTGTTTAAATAAACTTCTTGTTTAAAATGAGCTGTTTTCTTTATTCTGAAGAATGTTAAATAGAAAGTTGAAGCTTAGGAAAAAAACATGCTATGAGTAAACCTACTAGAAGTAATCTTTTAAGGAAGAAATCAGGCTGCTTCACATTTCTGACAGGCTGATGCAGAACAAAGAATAACAAAGTTATATAAATGACTAGCAGCAGAACTTTTCATCCTCTTTGTTCAGAAAGCTTAGGTACGTCCAGTTCCACATATGCAACTTTGCTAGCAAAAAAAGTGGGTCATAATGTGGATTTTCTCCCGAGTATTTTCTGTAATCACCACCTGAGGCTAAGTGAGACAGTACATGCAGCTGGGAAAAAATTTGAATTTTTGCCTACTCTGCTGACAAATCACTTCACCATTCTAGCGCTCGCTTTCTCTGATGAGTAAATACTCCCTAACCTGACATAAACAGTCTGTATTTCTTATCTGAGGATGTGGAAGAACAGAAAATAAGTTTACATGTGTCTATTCTTTACAGCCATTATTATGCAGAGTGATGTGTATGCGGGAAGTGCACAGCTATAGAACCAATACACAGACCATTAGAGCTGGAAAGATAGGTATAGATGGTCTAATTCTAACCCTCACTTTGGAGAAGAGTAAGCTGAGACACATGAGGCTTATTGGTCACAGCTAGATGGTGACAAAACTGGTCCTAGAGGTTGGGCCTCCTGAAGCCTGTTCAGGAGTCTAGTCTTTGTGATACTGATTCTCAAGAAACCAAACTCCCATCCCTATTTTCACCACAAGTGGGTGATTTCATTCACTTAATCGACTTTCTATCATGATAGGTTTTTTTTTTTTTAACCTCCCTGATCTCTTTAGCAAATGAGCAGGAATGCAGTAGATTTTTAGCTCGGTGTGTGTTTTAATCTTGGATCAACTAGTTTATATCTGTGTGTGTGTTATAGTGCTACCAATCTAATTTTACAATTGCTTTATGAAACTTGATGTAGCTAGCCTGCCACCAAGAATTCCTGGTACAAAGAGATCAGGTAAGTATGTTTCTCTTGCCTTGTTGCTCTAGGTACTGTTAAATAGTGGAATTTTGTCGTGTTCTAAAAATTAAGTTAATGTTTGGATCGAAATGAATTCTCAAGTCAGCAACCTCTGTTTATTATTGAAGGGGTCTTGAATCGGGTCCTTGTTTAATCATGATCTAAAACAGAGGACTTTACCAACTAATACCGTGGTCTGAGCGTTTGCTATGTTGGGGAAGATAAACTTTAAAAATAAATCATTTTGTAGTAGAAAAACTTTTAGTAGAATTTCAAAAAACCAGAAGGAAATGTATAGAAAGGGCACTTATTTCATAATATAGTGTGCTGTAATTTATGGATATTTAGGTGGGAATAGAACTAAAGATTTCACCATTTTCTTGATTATTGCTCTCTATTTCACTTAAGTAGCTACTAAAAAGACAAATATTCTGTGGTAGAATTTATAGAGCACTTCTTAAAAACACTTTGAGTATAAGTGAATCGTAGAAAATACTGAAAGTAATTTTTGCGTTTTTATTTTTTAACTTGGGGGAGGAGGTTCACATGACAGGATTATACTTCCATTGTGGTCAACTGTTCCAGCTACTTAGCAGAACTCTTTCTGGCTGCCCTCACATTAATACCCCATGTATTTATATTCTTAAAGTTGTAAATAAGTAATATCTAGGTAAACAGTTCTGTATAGGGAGATACGGAAAATTTGTATTCTCAAGCACCCTTACCTTCACACAAGCTGTTTGAGGCCAAAACATAAGAAGGAGTGTCAAGTTATTTGGTGTAGTGTTTTTTTGTTTTCATGGTAATATAATCTGATTCTCAGACATCTTTCCACCTAAAGAGGATGAGATTGAATGGGAAGTTGAGGGAGAAGACAGAGACTTAGGTCAAAGTGTGTAATTATATGGGCAATGGTGACAGCAGGAGGTCAGTGGAGAGTGGAGTCCCAGGATTTGAGGGAGGCTTGTTTCCAAGGTCTTTGTGGGGCCATGTTGTCTCGAGGACCAGCTGTGCGACTGAGGGTTATTTTTAATTTGGGATGCTGCTGCTTTTAAATATGACTAACAGTAATTCTGGATTGTGGTTTTGCGTTAGAATCCCCTGGAGAGCTGTTAAAAAATAACCAATACCTGGGCCCTACCCCATAAATGCATTTTCAGAACAATGTGGAATTATTTGAGAAACACCTCTGAGAGGCCTAATCTCACAACCCTAAGAGTTAAGCACCTTATCAGTTGAAGAGTAAATGAGATGATGTATGTTTTAGCTGCCTAGGCCTCCTGAGTGGTGCAAAGTTAAATGTTTGGCTACTAACTAAAAGGTTGGCAGTTGGAATCTGCCCAGAGGCTCCTTGGAAGGAAGTCCTGGTGATCTGCTTCCAAAAGGTCACAGCCATTGAAAACCCTGTGGATCACCATTCTACTCTGAAAACATGAGGTTGTCATGAGTTGAAATCGACGGTAACTGGTTTGGATTTTTGTTTTTTAGCTGCCTAACACAGTGCCTACCACACACTGAACTCTTTAAATGGAAATTGTTATTTTCAGTTATTATTCAGTAAGGGCTTTGCTGTAGGATGCTGAGGTTTTAATTGAATACCATAATTTCTACCGAGTGACGTGCCCTTAGAGTATACGAAAAACTGGAGAACAGGCCAATAGTTTTCTATTCATTTTAAACACTGAATAAAATCTTCATCCCATTTAGGATTTTTAATAAATGTTTAATACTGAATTGTACCCTAATGAGTCCTTAAGGAAAAACCTTCCTCAGGATTTTAATGATTCCCTGATGCATTAAGAACCAAAGGACCCATCCACAGGATGCTTCAGCATTCTGATTATCTAGGTGATGATTCAAGGTTTAGTACTGAACGTGGTAAGAAATGTGCGTATTTTATAATGAGACTTATGGTCTGTATAGTGGCTAGCTAATGAAGAGTTCCTCAGAGTGATGCGTAATTACAGAAGAGTATAAACGAGTTGGGAATTTAATCTCTTATTTGGAATGTGGAGTGTTATTTGCCCAGTAAGCAGTGACATGTGACTATGAGATCATTTTAGGATTTGCTACAAAGGAGGCTAAATTCATCTCTAGAAGAGCAGGTCAAATGGGTTATAGGTTTTTTGTTTTCTGTTCTTAGTGTGGCAGAATATATATAGCAATTGACCATTTTAGCCATCTTTGAGTGTACAGTAAAGTGGCATTCATTCACAGTGAAGTACATTCACAATGTTGTGTAGCCATCACTACTCTTTCCAGATCTTTTTTATCATCCTGAATAGAAACTATACCCATTAAACAATAACTCCTCATTACACGCCCCCGCCCCAGCCTCTGGTAACCTGTATTCTACTTCCTGTCTCTGAATTTGCCTATTCTAAATACCTCTCTCAAGTGGAATCATAACAGTAGTTGTCCCTTTGTGTCTCGCTTATTTCACTTAGCATAATGTCTCCAGGGGTCATCCATGCGGTGATATATATCAGAACTTCATTTCTTTTTATGGCTGTGTGATATTACATTGTATGTATATACCGCATTTTTATCCATTCATCTGTTTATGGACATAGGGGTTGTTTCCACCCATTGACTATTGTGAATGATGCTGCTATGAACGTTGGTGTACAAGTATTTTTCAAGTCTTTTGGGTATTTACTTAGGAGTGCAATTGCTGGGTCGTAAGGTAATTCTATGTTTAACTCCTTGAGGAACTGCCGAATTGTTTTCCGTAGTGGCTGTACTATTTTACATTCCCCACTGGCAATGCACAAGACTTCTAATTTTCCACTTCCTCGCCAACACTTATTTTCTGTTTTTTCTTTTTTAATGTTTGTTTTTAAAATAGAGAAATAGCAGCATAGAATTGGGGGAAATGGGACAAATTTAAACCATATAATCTTACTATCTCTTAATGTGAAAAGGGGAGGAAATAATGAAGATGTGAAGTATGCTATTTCCACAGTTGAGTGGTTAAAAAAGACCTGAGAGGGGCAGGCCAGACCTTAGAGTGCATGGACCATTCTATTTGACATAGAATAAAAGGAAGGCAAGAACATGACAACCATTTTGAGACCTCTCAGTTGATTCATTTGCTTGATGGGAAATGAGTTTTAAGAGGAAATAAGCTTCTTTGGGCTGTCTTTCTCAGTGGCATCGATCTGCCTTTTTTTGTGGAGGATATGGCTAAGAAAAGAATAGACAGATGCATCCTAAATTTGGCTTTAGGAGTGGTAGATGCAGACTGTACGTGTAAAGATGTGTGTTTAAGTCACAAGTGATACACTTAAGGGGCTCCCTAAAATGTGATTGCGATTTTAAGCTTGCTAAGAATACTTGTTGGTGGACTGTTCGTTAATTCAATCACTTAACCAACTTTAGCACCACATGGCCAACATTTTCTTTTAATACTGAATTAGAACGGAATAGAAAATGTTAAGAGGGTAGGTATATCAGGTAGTAAGAATATGTATTAAACTATTGTTGAACATATGAGATTGCCATTCTTGTAGGTCAAAAATGGTCAGATATCTGCAGTTTCATGTGGTTCAACCTCAAATGTGTGTACTGGATCACAGTGAAAGATACTGATCTAAGATTGGTTCAAATTAGATTGCATCGTCTAGGAAGAGTAAATCCCAAGAATGAAGCCAGCATAGAGTGCCCATTTCTGGAGGCATTTTGGAATCAGTTGGGGCAGATTGAAATTATAGTGGGAAAGCTGGTAGCATTCAGGGCAAAAACAGGTGCTTGGAAGCTAAGAGATGCTAACTTGGGGCATATTTAGGAGAGTTGTATTTTTGTGTTTGGTTAAAATTTAGTTATGAGTAGACATGAAGTAGAAGAACTTCTAGATTATTTTAGTTTGAGTAAATACATTCCAGATTATTTTAATCGTACATTGTATTGTTAAGTAAAGCTCTCTACACACCCAGTAACAAATTGAAAAACCAACAGGAAGGAAAGTAATTAGGCTTCAAACACTTTTCTCATGTCTTTTTAAACAGTAAAGATTTATTGCCACCTGCTTCAGAACAATATATTCTGAAGAAATTCTGAGAATATTGATTTACAAAAATATTGGGAAAACTGATTATTAGACTTTGGGAATTGAATTACAAATGGAAAAAGCTCGTACTTTGAATACAGTAGGGGAGATGGCAGTGTGGGCTTAAGGGAAATTGAGCACTTACTCGGGAGACTTAAAGAGTTCGACCTCACTCATTCTCTCTGTAAGTACGTTTTAAAAGGTGAAAATGGCTAAGCATATAGGGCAGTGGTTTTCAGAATGAATGGGGGAGATAAGCAGAGAGGGCCAGGATGTAGGACCCTCTGCCCAGCTTCAATCACAGCTGTTCTGCTTTCATTTATGTATTTGGATTCTGCTGCATAAATGTTTGAAAAACTGCTATAGGTCATAAAATAGCTGTTAGACCATTTCCTGTCATAAGATTTCATCTATCTTCTAGTTCCTTAGATTTTATGCCAATTGTTCTATAACCCCAGATGTGTTTTCTTAAAAACATGATGATGGACTTCAGTGATTTTAAAAGCAAATGTTCACATTGCCCCATCCTTTTGCAATTTTTGATCCTGATCTGTGTTGATTTTTGTGGACAAAAATACTCTCATTAATGTCCCATTTTAAAATGAGTTGTTTGGAGCAACGGCTATTAGAGCAGAGTTCCATCTTTTTTGCTGTCTTACCCTACATCTCCATCTTGCAGCAGAAAATGCAGTGATTTTAGTCGGAATTGTTGCAGTACGTGAACGGAGGGCTAGTTATTCCAGAAGTTTCTGGCAGTTTGATTTTAAGATAGGATGAGTGTGCCAAACAGACTTGCTTTACAGCAGACTTAAACAGATGTCGGTTTTACATTAAAAGCAATTGCCATCTAGTCTATTTGGATTAATGGCGACCCCCATGTATGTCAGTAGAACTGGACTCCGTAGGGTTTTCAGTGGCTGATTTTTCAGTAGATCCGTAGGCCTTTCTTCCAAGGTGCCTCTGGGTGGGCTTGAACCTCCAACTTTAGGTTAGCAGCCGAGTGCATTAACCATTTGCACCACCCAGGAACTCGGGTTTTACATTATTGTTGTTGTTAGGTGCCGTCAAGTCGGTTCTAACTCATAGCGACCCTATGCACCACAGAATGAAACACTGTCTGGTCCTGCACCATGCTCACAATTGTTATGCTTGAGCCCATTGTTGCAGCTACTGTGTCAGTTCATCTCGTTGAGGGTCTTCCTCTTTTTCGCTGACCCTCTGCTTTACCAAGCATGATGTCCTTCTCCAGGGACTGAGCCCTCCTGACAACATGTCCGAAGTATGTAAGACGTAGTCTCGCCATCCTTCCTTCTAAGGAGCATTCTGTTGTACTTCTTCCAAGACAGATTTGTTTGTTCTTTTGGCAGTCCATGGTGTATTCAATATTCTTCACCAACACCACAGTTCAAAGGCGTGAATTCTTCTTCAGTCTTCCTTATTCATTGTCCAGCTTTCGCATGCATATGATGCGATTGAAAATACCATGGCTTGGGTCAGGTGCACCTTAGTCTTCAAGGGGACATCTTTACTTTTCAACACTTTAAAGAGGTCTTTTAAAGCAGATTTGCCCAATGCAATGCGTCTTTTGATTTCTTGACTGCTGTTTCCATGGGTGTTGATTGTGGATCCAAGTAAAATGAAATCCTTGACAACTTCAGTCTTTTCTCCGTTTATCATGATGTTGCTTATTGGTCCAGTT